CTCTCTCTCTCTCTCTCTCTCTCTCTCTCTCCCTCCCTACCTCCCTCCCTCCCTCTCCCTCTCGCTCTCTCTTTCAGCGCGACGCCTAGGGGCGAGCCGTCGCGACGTCACCAACACACAGACACACAGACACACACACTCGCACAGCGCGTGCCCACCAGGGCCGTACATCACCCGGTACGCCCCGCCCCGTAAAATATTAAGATATTTCGAGCGGCATACGTAATGCCCGCGTGTATATATTAGAGGAGTGACAGTGCGGACGGGCCGTCACATATCATTACGCGCAGCACAGCGCAGCAGGTAGCGATCAGGACTTACATTTTGCCCCCCTTCCCTCCTCCCCCGGCCACAAGTTTTCCTTAGTCTCTCTCTCTCTCTCTCTTTTTGGTTTCGTCTTATATTGTCTGTTTGTTTTAGTCCCGCAGTCCCGAATTGAGCTGCCTTAAAATATTCAGTCGGGGCTAGCATATATGCTTCGAATAAGATGGACCGGTATTTCAAGGAGGGGGTAGTGTGAAACCGGTGGCACCGCGCGCATAATGTTCTCATTCTTTTCCCTAGAGGAATAGAGCACAAAACGAGAACAAGATATTTGAGAGCTGTCGAAGTGTGTCAGAATAAAACCAGTATCCTCACAGCTCTTTTTCTCTTTGACTGCGAAATAAGCTGGCCAGAGGGGATATAGCGTCGCCGTCGTCTCCGCGACTCATGTGCGCGGCGGACGAGCCCGGGCCGAGGAGACGTGGCGCGGCGTGGCGCGGGGCCGAGCGGGATGGCGATGCTCAGGGGCATTTGTCATGTCAGGTTGGCCAGCGATAAATTACCCAACGGGTTCCGGACACTTAATGTTCTGAAAATTCGACGCGCGCCAGATTATTCCCTGCAACACAAACACACGCACTCACAGGTTTATACGCACAGGCGCCCCTGCATGACCACGACCACGACCCATCAAAAAAAATAAAAATCCGCCGAGTCACGCCAAAGCAGCAGCGTTACGGGGCGGGGATAGGAGGGCGCGGCGGGGGAGGCTCCGTGGGAGAGGAATCAAGGCCGCTCGCGGGCCGGGGGACGGGCCGGGCGGGCGGAGGGGCGGCGTGGCCCCGACGCTGCTATCTGACATCGGATTGACGCCGAGGCCAGTCATAGCGACATGGCAGCAGATCAGCAGGCGTCCGCCCGCCCTCGGGGCCCGGCCTGGCCCCGCAGCCTGGGACTGTCTAACGCCTCGGCCCCTTCACCGCCACCGCCACCCCTTTTCCCTCCTGAATGAATAAAAGGGGCAGCGAATCTTCGGCCGGCCGAGCTTGGCCGCCGCTGGCACGCCTCCGGACGAGCTGGACGCGCGTTAGCTGAAAGTGGCCCGTTAATATTTGAGCGCCGTTGCTCTCGGCCCCAACAGGCGGCTGCCAGGCTGGCCTGCGCGGCCCTATCGGTCCGGCCGAGCAGCCCAATCGTACCGCCCCTGCGGGGTGGACAGCACAGGTCGGCCCGGGGCCCGCGGGGGCCAAGACACAATTAAACATTGTAGGGGCAGCACTTTGGCCTGGTGACAGCGCCCCCATCGCCTTCCCCCTTTCAAATGACGTATTTATCACGTGGCCGCCAGGGGGCAGCAGCAGCGGCAGTGGCAGCAGCGGCAGGGCCTCGTGCACCTGTCCAGCTGCCTGCCCTGCCCGGCTCGAGGCCCGGCCTGGCCCGGCCCCACGGCTGGGGAATTATTGATGATAACTGGACGAGTATAAATCACCCCCGTGAGCGCGCTCGCATCCCGTCGCGCTCCGTCGTCGTCTCGCTTGCCCCGGCCGGGCCAAGCAGGGGCAGGCCGTCCACACGAGACGCAGCAGAGCCCTCGCGTCAGCCAGCAGCGCACACGGTACGGTCTCGGGGCCGAGAAGCAGCAGCGAGCCTGGGGAAGGGAGGGGAGGGGAGCGCGGGGCCGGACGGGATGATTCACTTGTTCCAGGCCGTGGCGGTGATGGCGCCGAATGGCGCACCCCATTATGAACATCCCGCGGCCTCGACCATTGAAATCTATGGCACCGGGGCACGTGAGGTGGCGCCAGCGGGGGGCCGGCCCGCCACGCCACGCCACGCGGCCGCCTCCTCGCCGCCTCCACGCGCGCCTCCTACTAGCAGCGATGAGCCTTTACAGTGGAGGCGGCGTTATTAATTTGAACAGCCGCGCGCGTGCCGGGCCAGGCCAGGTCCAGGCCCAGGCCGACGGGAATAGCTCCATTAGGGCGGCGGGAGCGTCACCGGGACGCAGGTGTGGGCGATGGGCGTGTCGGCGCCGCCCCCGAGTCCTCCCCCTTCCTCCTCCTCGCTCGCCGCCCCCGCGTCCCTCTCCCCCGGCGATGAGTGTTGACCCGCGGCAACCCTTCCTCCTTCTCCTCCTGGGGAAGCACAAGATTCACTTAATTACGGACGGAGGGGAAAAAGCGGCAGCGACGACGACGACGACGCGCTGCCGACGACGGCAAACACTCGAGGTCGCGGGGGCGGGGCGGGGCGGGCCTGGGCCTGGACTGCGCGCAAGTTACCCCGTGTACCGACGCGCAGCAGGGCGAGGAGGAGAAAGATAGTCCTCGTCGTGAAGGAGCAATGATGACTCTGGAATGACGTAATGCAGCTGACGCGGCGGGGCGGGGCGGGGCCGCCGGGTAATCCGCTGGAGAATAAAGCCGTTTAGCGAGTCGCCCCGTATCGGGCGGGCGCGATCTCGAGCAGCGCGGCGCCAACCCCTCGCCTCGCCCAGCACGGCGGCCCAGCACACCCCTCGCACCAGAGAGTTTCTAGCCTCTCTCTCTCCCTCTCCCTCTCTCTCATTCTCTCTCTCTCTCCCTCTCTCCCCGTCTCTCTCCGTCTCTCTCCCTCTCTCTCCCTCTCTCTCCCCCTCTCTCTC